TCCCCGTTGGCGCCCAGAGTGGGGGAATGTCTCAGGCAGTTGGCTCGTTTGGTGGCTGGGACCCTTTCTTTTGTCAGCCTCCTGATCACCGCGACATAACAGGCAAGACATTTGGGCACCCCGAAGGAGGAGCCGCCAGGGGTGGTTTCATGTCCCCTTTCGCGCCCAGAGTGTGGGGATGTCTTAGGCGGTTTGCCTGTCCTGTGGGTCAGGCTCCTGTCTTCTGAGCGCCCCATAACCACCGCGATGCAGCAGGCGTGGCATTTGGGCACTCCGAGGAGGAGCCGCCAGGGGTGGTTTCATGTCCCCGTTCGCACCCTGATTGCGGCCATGCCTCGGGCGGTTTGCTCGTTTGGTGGCTCAGACCATCTCGGACCCCTTCTTTGTAAGTAAGAGCCCCATGATCAGCGCGATGAAGCAGGCGTAGCATGTGGACACCCCGAAGCCGCCAGAAGTGGTGCTATTTTGCTGTTCGCGCCCAGATCGTGGGGAAGTCTCAGGCGGAGGCGGTTTGCTCGTTTGGTGGCTCAGACCCCTTTCTCTTGAGACACCCCATGACCACCGAGACATAGCAGGCGTAGCATTTGGGCACTCCCACGGGGAACCGCCGGGTGTTGTTTCATGTCCCCCTTCGCTCCCAGATGGTGGGGATGTCTCAGGCGGTCTGCTCGTCTGGTGTTTCTGTTGAAAGGCCCATGATCATGCGAAACGCAGGCGTTGCGTCTGGGCCCTCCAAGGGGAGCCACCAGGGATGGGGACACTGGCCCGTTCGCGCGCAGATTGTGGGAGCCCCATGGTCACCACGACATCGCAGGCGTGGCATCTGGACACGCCAGCTCGTTCGCGGTCAGATTGTGTGGATCGTGGGGAGGTCTCCAGCGGTGCGCTCGTTAGGCGCCCTTGGCCTCTCACTTTCGAAGGCTTCCTGATCGTTTCGACGCAGGCACTTACCGCGATGCAGTAGGCATAGCAGCACTTGTGCACCCCATGGGGGAGCCGCCGGGGGGGGGGTGACACTTTCCAGTTCGCGCCCAGATCGTGGGACCTCTCAGGGGAAACGCTGGTTTCGGCACCACCGACGACGATGACGACGATGACGATGACAATGATGACATTTCCACGTCGTCGTCGTCGTCAGTTGTCATCGTCATCGTCGTCGTCGCATCGTCATCGTCATGCCATTATCATCTTGTTGTGGTCGTTGTCGTTGCCAAGCTTGCTACCCTCTTCCTTCACAGCCCCAAGAGCTCTCCGATGCAGCAGGCCCAACAGTTGTGCACTCCAGGGGGGAGCCGCCAGGGAGCGCCCAGAGTCGCCACAGGCTAGTATAGTCCTTCACTCAGAAAGCACTCGCAAACGGACCTGCCAGGAAAGGGCATGCACATGAGGAGACCTCGGCGTCGAACAACAGTTCTTGGACAAGCACATGATGGGACCAACAACACATTGTGGAACAAACACACACACACACTGTGTGTGGGTGGGTGTTTTTGTTGTCCACGGTGTTTTTTCCACAGACTCTGCCCTGTTTCTTCGACTACCCCCTTTCCCGCTCCCCCCCCTGGCTGGCGCCCTGCCTCGAGAGGTGCTTCGGCGCCTTCAGTGCCCGTCTCCCATCCGCAGGTTCCCCCCCCCGCTCGCCGCGATGACCAGGCCGGGTGGGGGGGAGGGTGAAGGAGGAGAGGCGGCACGGGAAAGGGGAGGAGGGGGAACGGGGATGGCGAGGGAAATGCAATGAGTGAGCGGTGGATGGGGAAATCGCGGCGGGAGGGGCGGGGTAGAGAGGGGAGGGAGGGAAACGGGGGGCGGGGGAGTGGAGGGGAGGGCGAGGCCAGGGCAGGGGTGAAGATGGATATTCGGGAGGAGGATCTGCAGGATCATGAGAAAAGAACACGATGATGAGGCGGAGAACGACCCGTGCAAACCGAAGATGCACCCTCCCTCCGAGTTCCCTCTTCACAGGTCCCTACAATCACTTATTCTAGACGCTCTGCATAAGCCCACCAGCCCATCCCGAAACGTTGCCCAAGCGAGTTGCTCTGATCAGGGGATGCGGAGGAGCATGCAGTGGAATAAGGGGCCGGGGAGGCGAGGCTAGAGGAGGAATCGGAGGAGGAGGAGGAGGAGGAGGGGGAGGGGAGGGGAGGAGGAGGAGGAGGAGGGAGGAGGAGGAGGGAGGAGGAGGAGGAGGAGGGAGGAGGAGGAGGAGGAGGAGGAGGAGGAGGAGGAGGGAGGAGGAGAGGGAGGGGAGGGAGGAGGGAGGAGGAGGAGGAGGAGGAGGAGGAGGAGGAGGAGGAGGAGGAGGAGGAGGAGGAGGAGGAGGAGGACAAGGCGGAGGAGGAGGTGGAGGAGGAGGGGGAGGAGGAGGAGGAGGAGGGCGAGGGGAAAGGGCAGATGCCTCTCGGATGCAGCTCGGAGTCTGTCCCCAGGACCAAAATAGGTCCACGACCTTCGGACAAACAGTGATTTGCGCGCTTTTGCTGAGATCATCTTGGGTGCTCCGCTCGGTCGCGGGGCGCCCCGTCCAGGTCCAGGAGCAGGGGTCAATACACCTCCTGCCCACAAGGCGCAAGCCGCCTCGCTGACTCCCACCCGCATCTGAGTATCCCTTTCAAAAACCAATGCGAAGTTATTGCGGGGCGCCTGTGCATGCCTCAGATGTCAGATCACATTGTTGTTGTATTGCTTCGTTTTGTTGACAGGGATGGTTGGCCTGCGCGCAGCAAGCGATGTGAGGGACCCCCCCGCCGTCTCTGTAAAAAAAACACCAACACAAAGTGGTCGCGGGGCGGCGCCCGTGCGTGTTCCAGATTCGGAGACAAAGTGCATCGTTTTTTGGTAGGGGTGGTTGGCTTGCGCGCAGCAAGCACTATGAGGGACCCCGCCGTCCTTGTCAAAAACCAATGCAAAGTGGTCGCGGGGCGCCAGCGCATGCTCCAGATTTGAAACCGCCGTGTATTAAGTATTGTGTTCCACCTCCTGCTCCAGTGCACCAGCACCCTGTCGGTCGTCACAGGCGGCATGTTCTTGGCGTGTCCTGAGTGCCGCGCCTCAAGTCTCTGCGGCTCCTGTACCCTGGACCCGTGGCACCCTGGACCACCACGGCCCTGTGGCACTCGCTCCTGCTACCTGTACGATGGCACAACGTTGCACTTCGTCTCAGCGTCGCTCTCCTCGCTCTCCCTGATCCCTGACGCAGCTTGGCTCGAGGCTGGTGTACTTGATGAGCCGTTGACAGCAGCACCAACCACAGCATTTTGCTTCAACCGGCACTCCGCCACCGGGTTCATGGAAATGGCGCTCCTTTGCAACTACGTCGACTACGGCACCGCCTGATCCCGAGGCTTTGCCTCCTCCTGGCCTCGTTCTGAGGCTGCGCCCCCCTTTTCCTCCCCCATCTCTGGTTAATTCAAGCTTCGCGCGGCCCGCTTAGCTTCGACCGGAAGAGGTGCGTTCCCGACCCGCGAATCAAAACAATGTATTTTGTAGTGTAGTTGTTGACAGGGGTGGGTGTTGGCAGCCATGTCGATGGTTTGGCTGCCAGCCGCCTGGGGGAGGGGGTGTTTACTACCAGGGAACAATGGTAAACCCTTCCCCGGAGGAGAAGCGTGGAAAGACCTCCTCCTCCTCCTCCTTCTCCCCATCCTCCTCCCTATCCTCCTCCTTCGTATCCTTCCCTCTCCTCGTCTCCTCCTTCCTCCATGGGAGAGGGTCGGATCGACTCGGCAGGAGAAAACGTCAGGCTCGCAGCGCCGTCTGGACCCCCCCCCTTCGAGGAGACCACAGGTGTGGAGCTCAAAGCTCAGATGCCCTGCGGACAAAGCCGCCCAGGCCACAGCCATCCACCCTGCTTCCAGTGTCTTTGAGACTCTTCCGTTGGTTCTTTCCTCTCATCCGCCCGCAGCCAGGGCTCGCGCGCAAAGCGAGCCGTGACCCACCTGCGTCCGCCCTTGGTGGCGTGGTCCTTTTCGGAAGTGGTCCATTGGAAAACGACCGGATCGGGAGGCAGAGGACCAACCTGGGAGAGGAGAGAGGATCGGCGGCCAGCACGGAGGGGACGTGAGATGGGGGCGGGCCTTCTCAGAAGGTTCGGAAGTTTCCCAAGCCTACCCCGAAGACAGAAAACCTTTAAAGGCCTTCTCCTTCTCGATTCGCCCCCTCGTTCGCCGCCGACAGTGCCCGATCGGCGTCACCCCAACATACTTCTAGTATGTGTGCGTTGCCCCGCCCCCCCCCCCCAAGGGGCGACGCGCGCACCGAAAAATCTTGTAGTACATAAGTTGTGGCGGGCGCTTTCTGGCCACACCTCTCGGGAAACGATGTACTGCGAGATGGGTGTACTACTACGTATATGCGCCTCCAAGGAAGACATACAGTATTAGTATGTCTCTGTCTTAAATGCCTCGGTACGCCCGTTTTAATACGCAACACGTGCCGTGCGCAGAGCGTCCGTGACAATACGTTGCGTGTTGGCTCAGCGTATTGGCCCCACGTCTTGGCGAACGCATCGCGCCACACCTACGTCTCGAGTCCACGTGCTGAGCTTCGTATCAATACGCTACGTGTTGCGTGTTGCGTGTTGGGGCAGCCAAGGTCTCTGTGCATCCCACCCGATCCTGACCTCTCCTCCGAGGCTGGGATTTGCCCATATCCACCGCCTTGGGGATCGATCCTCGCGGACCTCCACAGGCGGTGGATATGGAGACATTCGGGCCCTCGGGGGCCAATATATATATATATATATATATATATATATATATATATCCATCTTCACCGCCCGCTGGGGCACCAGGACGTCGGTTCCCATGCGGTGGACATGGATAGATCCCCGCCTCACACACGCGGCCGCATCCGCCTGGCTTCGCTGGCTTTCGAAGGAGAAGACACGCCACAAACATACACTTTTGGCGCTCCGCTCGGATTGCTTGGATCCGCTCTGGGCCCCCCTGGCGGCGTCTCGGCGCTGCCCCTGGCGCATCTCCGCGCCGGCGCGCCGGCAGGCCAGATGCCGCAGCGCGCCCCGGCGCGAGGCGCCCTGCCTGCCGAGGCGGGCGGCCCGCCGGCCCCGTCGGGCCCAGGCCCAGCGGCGCGCGGCCCGGGCCTCACGAGGGAGTGGGGGGGAGGAGGGTAGGTCGCGGGGCGCGGATCGTTCTCCTCCTCTTCCTCCTCCTCCTCCTGTCCCTGCTCCTCCTTGGCCTCCTCCGCCTCCTCCTCGTCCTCCTCCTCGAGCTCAACAAGGGCAACGTGAAGGAGCACCTGGTGAAGCTGCTGGTGCTGGCGGGCAAGCTAGAGGAGCGACTCGTCAACTTCCTGGTGGTGGCCAAAGTGATCCAGATGTTCGTATGGAGCGGAGCCGGTGGGCATTCCCAACCTCCATGAGCTGGATGAGGCGGCTTACGCCTTTCCCTGGGACTCCTGCAGCAGTTCCAGGCCATGTCCAAGACGCTCGCCTAGTGAACGACCATCGACGTGGATGCTGATAGTGACACTGGTAGTGATGCTGGCGATCTCCCCCCCAGGAAGCCGATTACTTCAAATCGCTCCGCAAGAGAGCCTGTGGCGAGGTCCATGGCCCTGACGACCTGTTCAAGATGGATCGCCTCATGGTCAAGAAGTCCAAGGTACGGCAGTCGAAGCGCATCAAGACCGTCGCCGATTGCAGCAAGCTCGAAGGGAATGCGCCACGACGAAGTAGCGGCCTCACTCCGTCCCCGCCCAGGGCACTTCTGGAAGGGGTGCCCATGGAGGGGTGGGGGCGAGCGTTCACCGTGGATTACAATGCTTTAAGACGGGAAGTGGGTGCTGGAAGCGGCTGGATGTTCCTGGAACTGCGCACTCAGAGGTCCGTCCTGGCGGTAGGCGTTGTGTATATGGTCGCCGATGTGGGAGCTGCTGGTGGGAATATCCGCAAGATGCTGGCGACCATCACGTTCGTCCAAACCTTGGCGGTCCCGTTGGTCCTCGCAGGGAGTTTCGATATGTAGCTCTGCGGGTTCCTGAAGATGACTCGTGCTTGTGCTTTTCCTCCTGCAGTTGTAGCTTACACGTGCTCGCAAGGTAAGGGCACGATGATTGACTATCTGATTGTGTCTCAGATCCTCGCGCCGTGCGTAAGCTTCTCGAAGTAAGAGAGCTCGCCTTTCAAGACACATGCTTGTTTGAAGGTAGTGCTGCCACACGAAGACCTGCTCCAGGAGATGAACAAGCGTCGTAAGCCCAGACTTCTTCCTGTTGCTCAGGGACCTGAGCTTCCTTGGGCTCGGCATCTGCGAACGGTTTATCGGGGATGGTGCCAGCTGGTTCGGGATCCTGGAGTTCGGCTTGTTCCCCATGTTTAGGGGCACCTCGTGTCTCCTGCTTCAGAGAGTCTAGCGCTTGAGGGTGTTCGCGAGCATGAACCTGGTGCTGAGCAGTCGATGGGGAGGGGATCGGGCTGCTCGGCGCTCAGTATTATCTCTGTGATTTCTTGGTCTCCGAGTGCTCCGATGCGCGCGGGAAGGCCCGGCCCGATGCTCGCGCGAATTTTGCCACGGTTATTCATGGGCGGCTTCTTGAGGCCCTGCCCATGAGGGGGAGCGATGCAAAGGGCCGCCCTCTGGAGTTTCTGTTGGGCCCCCCCTGCAGCTGCCCGACGCTGCCCGATGAGATGATGGTCCACAGCCGTCCGCAGGGGCCCCGTTGGTGCTCGAGCGCATCTTGGATCGGCCTCCTCCTCCTCCTCCTCCTCCTCGACGTCCTCCTCCTCCTCCTCCTCCTCCTCCTCCTCCTCCTCCTCCTCGACGTCCTCCTCCTCCTCCTCCTCATTCATTTATTTATTTATTTATTCATTCATTCATTCATTCATTCATTCATTCATTCATTCATTCATTCATGCATTGAGGGCAAGAAGGTTTAATCCCAAACTCTGCAGAGAGGCCGGTGGGAAAAAGAGCAGAGCGAGCGCACTGTACAGCAACGATGCCAGGAATACACCACACCACTGCAGACAGCCCGAGCCACCAACCCTGCCCACCAAGTCCGTCCGTGGCACGAGGGACCCGGGGGGAGAGGGGGGCCCAGGGAGCGCAGACAGGCGTAGCCTGTCATTCGAGATTCCCACGCCGTCACGTGAGACCAGTCATCGCGGTAGCCTCGGGGAACGCAAAATACCTTCAGCCTGTCAGGGAGCACAAATGGGGGGGGCGGGGGGGGGAAATTCGGTACTTGTCCCCGTCGCCGGGACGCCGGCCGGGCAGACGTCACCAGGGCATTGGTGCCGACAGAATGCACCACTGGATTTCCTGGATAGCACGGTATCTGAGAGAAGCGGCGGGTCCATAAAAAAAGAGAAGCGAAGGGGGGGGAAGGTGGAGGAGGAGGAGGAGGAGGAGGAGGAGGAAGAGGAGGAGGAGGAGAAGGAGGAGTTGGTCCGCCCAGTCCTCGCTCAGAATGAAGATAGATGCATCGATGGTGAGCGGCACCCGGGGCTCCTCGATCTCGATCGGTTCTTCCTCCACCGCCGGGTGGAATGGGGCGCCCGAGACAGCCATGGGCGGCTGCTCCGCGTAGTTGTCCTGCACACCGCGGGCACGGTTGGCCCGCTGCTGGTCTCTCCTCAGGGCCGTGTCTTCGGCAAGCTCCTCTGGACTCGGCCGCATTCCGGACCGAATCTACGCAAGCCGACAAGACGCGACTTGATGGACGTGCTTCAGCAGCCGCCCTCCCTGGTGGTAGCCTTTCAGACAAATGGGGCATACGCTCTCCGTCACAAAACTATTCGGGGACAGGGGGGTCTGGTGCCATTTGCCGCGATGGGCACGGAGCTGTCGTGCACTATGGAACGTATCACCGCACTCATAACATAAGAACCTTTCCGATCCCACCGACGTCTGATCCACGACGGTGGTACTCGTGGCTACCTCGCACACCTTCGCACGCCCATGCTCAGACAGGGCCTCCCTCACCTTATCAGCCGTGCGCTTGATCACGGAAAGGTAGTGTCGCGGGGCGACGCGGGCCATCTGCGTCCAATCCTCGGTCGTGCCCTGGCCAGGGTATTCCGCCTCGGCCAAGAAGCCTCGAATCCAGCGGAAATCGCCCTCCAAGAGCCCCCTCCAACCCGAACCCTGGGGGCAGGCGTCCAAAATCAACCGCAGCATAGGCGGCGCATGGTGCAGCATTCGGGGGAGATATCGCAAGCGCCCGATTCTGATCACAACCTCCCATGGCAGGCGCTGGGCTTGCGCTAGCACTTCAACGTATGAAGCGTGGCACTGCTCTTTGTTATAGAGGCTCAAATTGAAGGCCACCCGGTACATCTTCGCATGAGCCGTCCTGACCTTCCCTCCGAGCCTCAGACACATCGGGCCCCAGGTGTGCGATCCGAACCACGACCTCGACCCCGCCAGGCTGTCGACGTGCGTCGCTTCAGCCCGCACGGAGAGAGCAGCACGCGGCGCTATCGTCCGCTGAATCGGCCGTAGTGCAGAAGCCATGTGGGACGTCATCGCAAAGATCTCAGAATTTACGTTAAATCTTCGGGGGACCTCGCCTGTCCCCAAAATTGGTGTCTTTTCTCGCGCCCGACGCAGGCCCGATGCGTACTCGACGCGGATCTGGCGCGGATTCGACGCGGATTCGACACGGATTCGACACGGGTCCGACGAGTCCGACATGGAATCGGCACGGATTCGACGCGGATCGGGCCGCGACGGGACAGACAAGGTCCCCCGAGGATGCAACATAACAGAATGCATCCCCCCGCCATCCCTAAAAATCACCCAAACACTTCTGGACACGGACCGTGCGGATCGAGAAGTCGCCGCGCCGGGAGCGAGTCTTAGGAGGGTCTTTTCTGGTAGCCTGGTGGTGGGGGCGGCTACCTGGACCCCTAAAACACAGCATACACAGTCGTTTTGTCGTGGTTGAGCCGAAGCCCGCGCCGACCGAGCGCGCGATATATGATGCCCAACATGATCTCGCATCGAGGAATCAAATACTCTGGCTTGGACGTCGCCGTCAAAGCCGTCAAATCATCAACAAAACTCGTGGACTGGTGGGGGTCGTCACGATCTTTAGCGAACACCCGGGGTCCTGGGGGAGGAGCCCAACCTAAGTCTTGCTCCCGCATTTTCTGTTCGATCTCGGCCTGCGCGCCGCAACAAATACCACAAAACACGTCTCCAGCGGGGACAGTCCCAGGACGAGAGCCAGCGCGAGGCGCGACTCCCCCTCCGGCTCCGCTGATCTCCCACGTCGGGGCCTGCGGGGTCTGCCGAAGCAGATCGCGAAGATGCTCCGACTCAAAACGGGGGTCCAAACCGGGGGGCTCCCGGAGCTGCTCCCTCATCGCATCCACCAGGAAGGGAGGGAGATCCATGCGGTCCAGAACGTACTCGAGATCGGCGTCCTCAGTGGGCAACGCCAAAGCGAACTGCTTCACCGCCGAATGAAGCGCTGACCTCAAATCGACAAACATGCCAGCGCAGCTCACTTTGTGCGTGTCACACGCGCCCCAGAACTCACGGACCAGATGCACCGCCGTGTCGGCGGATCGTTTAGGCAAGCCCCCGACCTGGCTCTCCAGGAGCGCCCTGTGCAGGGTTCGGAGGGCGAGGGACCGGAGGAATCGGTGGTGGTGCTTCGGAATCGGTGGTGGTGCTTCGCCACCACATTCGCCATCAGGGCCTGTTGTTGGTCGGGTTCTTTCGCTGGGTCCCCTTTTCCTTTCCAGAAATACGCCACGCGGGAATGTTTAGCTTGAAACGCCTCCTGCCTCAACATGGTCGTTTTCGTAAGCACAGGGTGGAGTAATTGGGCCGATTCCTGCGGCGCGACCTTGTGAGCAGGTCATCGAGAACACCATCGGGGCCAGGCGCCTTCCTCCGCTTCGCCGCTTGGAACTCCATCTCCAACTCTAGCCTGGTAATCATCACATCAAGCTCGGCAGGAGGGGGTGCGGCATGCATCGAGATCGAATTATACCGCTCGGCAGCCTTTTCCAAAGTCAGAGTCTCCCCAAACTCAACCTTCGCAAAGAAAGCCTGCATGTGCCGAGCCACGGCTTCATCCGAATCCAGGACCTCCCCCCCAGTCCCAACGTGAAAAGCAGGGGGGGGGGGGGGCGGCTTTTTGGGGGGGCGCCCCCCGAAGGACAGAAGGCGGTGGACGTGCTGCCACTGCTCGCGGGGAACGCTGCCATCCATAGCCAGATGGATGCCCTCGGCCTGGGCCTCCAAAAACTGAACCTTGTCAGCTTCAATGGCTCTCGAGATCGGCCCCCGGGAAGACTCGAGGAAACCGATTGACGCGAAACGAAACCAGTCGGCGGGCAAGCGGCCGTGCCAAAGCTCGCCCCCGAACCTTCGAAGTTTTCGTAAAGCGGGGGCCCATTCTGGCGGAGGTTGGGCCCCCCCCTCCCTGGAACCTCTGGCCAAATCTCCCGCGTGACAGCGGGCCGCCAGCTTCCGGAAGGACCGTTCGGCATGGTCCGGTGGGAGGGCGGCTGTCTTCCGTAACACTCGCAAGACACCCCTTCGGAGCCAAATTAAATCGAGCCTGGCCTCTGATATGTAAGCCTGCCGGGGCCTACGGGGGTCAACGCCGAAGACCCCCGTGGCAGCGTCCATGAACGCCTCCGTAGTGCGACCTAGCTGTTCGTTCAATTCCTCGACCCACTCTCCAGGGGGGATTTGGGACAGGGTCCGTCGAAACTCTTTTACCCTTCACTGGGTCACTGAGCGCACTTAAATCGACCTTCTTTCGCCCCCCTTTGCTCACCGTGCGGTGACCCTCCCATTTAAAATCAGTCAGCACTGGCATATGGTCCCTGGAGTCCGACATGGTGTCCAGCGACGCGTCGACCCACGTTGGCGCAGCACAGCCCAACAGCTCCCTCTGTGCCAAGATGTAGTCTATCTGGTGGCAGGTGTTCTGCTGAGAGATCCAGGTGTGGTTGGGCCCGGTCTGGCACGTGAGCGTGTTAATGACATGGAGGCGGTGCTCGGCAGCGAACCCGTGGAATCGGGCTCCCGGGACGTCTTGAGCTTTCGCAAAACCCTCCCCCCAACCCAGGGTGATCGAATGTCGCCGAGACGTCCATTGGCATCGCAGAAGCCCAAGGATGAGGACCATTTGGAACACTGCTCATCCATAGTTTTCCAAAACTCGGCGACTTCCTTGGGGTGGCTTCGGGCATGTGGGGCATGAGCCACAACCACAACCATATGAACGACTGTCGTGTGGACACGCACGAGCAGGATGCGGGGGCTCCGAAAAAGCACCCGGAAGTCCCGAGGCTGAAAAGACGCATCCCTACCTTTGACCTGGCCGTAAGGATTCTGTAAATTAACCCATAGTTCGCACCTGAGGCTGCACTGCTTGGCAGACTTGACACACCCAGAAGATATAACATGGAAGGCTCCTGCTGAACTGGTGCCCTCCTTGTTCCGGTCTTCTGGAGCCCCATGAGGTAGATTCCCATCTCGTGGAATTGCGCCGCCAGCGTGACGGCGCGCCCTTTCTGGGTTCAGGCTCGTCGTCCGTGCGCCCTGTTGGCGCGAATCGACCGAACGTTATATTGCGCCACTCTGACGCTCACAGTGTAAGAGACGTTCCGGAGTCGAGCATGTTGTGCCAGCATGCCCGCCTTAGCGCATGGTCGCGCCGTAATTCCCCCCCATCCCCCAACTCCATTTGGCGAGCATGGACTGTCGCGCACCTGGGGGCTGGGCATGATCAGACAACCACTCCAATTCCCGAGCCCGCGTGTACCCGGTACACTGAACCCACGCGTCGGGAAAGTTCGTAACGGAAGCGCCTGAACCCAGGCGTAAGTGGTACGCTGAGCCCACCCCTCCTCCTCCTCCTCCTCCTCCTCCTCCTCCTCCTCCCTCCTCCCTCCCTCCTCCTCCTCCTCCTCCTCCTCCTCCTCCTCCTCCTCCTCCTCCTCCTCCTCCTCCTCCTCCTCCTCCTCCTCCTCCTCCTCCCTCCTCCTCCTCCTCCTCTCCTCCTCCTCTCCTCCTCCTCCTCCTCCTCCTCCTCCTCCTCCTCCTCCTCCTCCTCCTCGCCCATCGGACCAGGGAGTTTCGGCCGCTGGCCCCCGGGCGCTCCGCTTCGAGCTGGGGAGGGGGGGGCCCCGAGCGGGCGCCGCGGGCGCGCCGCCGAGACGCGGCCGAGCAGCCCTCTGAAGGCGCGGTGGCGGGGGCTGGCCACTGGAACTGAGTCGGGCCTGTCCCCGCACAGGGGGAATGCTCAAAAATAGTCAAGAAATAGTCTGGGGACGACTATTTTCTGAGCATTTGTTTGCCATTCTGTGGCATTTTTGTTTTTTTTCGTCGAAGCTCCCCCTGTAGGGGGACGCGCCCGACTGAACACTGGAAGCCGAGGGGGCCCATGACAGCTCAGCCTGGCGCGCCGGAAGTCCTCGCTCACTCGTGCAGGAGGTGTCGGGGTCCCTGGCGCGGCCGGCGCAGATCCCCTGCACATTGGCCCCCCTCCTCCCGAAAGGCAAAGTCGATGAGCGACCCGTTAGTAAGTGTTCTATCCTTCATTGGTTTCGCCCGAAAATTGGAGGTTCATTCTTCGACGACTGGGGTCGAGACCACGCTACTTTTTGGGGTGCCGCCGTTCGTGGAAGCTCCGCCAGGCGGGCAGTTTCGAGGAGAGTTGCCCCGCGAGTTCTGGAGACGCCGCCCTCGAAAGCGAGGAGCTCGACTGTCGCGGAGACTCCGTCGCCTTGCACTGTGACTCGCGCAGTTGTCTGACGCGGCATCGCCCTTCTTGCTTATCAAGCTTGGGCGTGATTTGCGTTTCCCCCCTCGCCTGGTGCACGTGGGCTCACGTGCCCGCATCTCTCCTGGGATGTCGAGGAAGGGGGGTTCTGCTATGAGCTTATCGAGTCGGGCGTGGGGGTCCTCCCAGGGTGCCCCCAGAGCGCCGTGGATTGGAGCCTAAATGTACCAGAAGCTCGATGATATTCGCCATCGGTTTTTCCTTGTTGTCGTCACCCGGGCGCACGTGGGCGACCTCTCGCGGAATTCGCAGGGGGGCGCCGACGGCGTGGTCCGCGCAATTGTCCCTGCTGCTGTTCAGTTGGCGCACGGACTTGACGGTCTGTGCTTGTTTATCTCTGACAAGTTTGCTATCGCGAGTATCAAACATGGCGTTCGTTTTCGCATTGCTCGGCATCTCCGAGCTATCGGGATCTCTTTGAGGGCCCAGGATTCGTCCCGCGACCGTGGGTTTGCCACTGCAGCTGGCAAAAGTAGGCGCATAATGATTCTACCGATTCGGAGGGCTAAGCCTCAAATGGAGGCGAAGACAGGCAAGTACCTCGGCGGTATCTGCATAGAAGCTTCGAAGCTCTACGTGCCTGGGGCGCTGTCGCTTTCGTTGTCCTGAGGGCGCAATGTATTGGGGCCGTGTGTGCCGTTGCCTCTCGAGGTTTTTTTTCGGTCCGCGCCCAGGCTGCGAAATGCCTGTCCGGGTCGGTGGAGCCATGGGTCCTGTGCGACTAATTTGTTGACTATCCTGAAGGCCGAGTCTGCTGATCCTGCATGCCGTCTGCGGCGTGAGCAGCTCCTTGGTTTCCAGCAGTAGCGGTTAAGTTTTGGCCCCGAGGCCGATATGCGGATTTCTTGGTTGTGGAGCGCTCGCGCCGATTGGTTCGCTTGCGCGCCGCCGGGCCGTATCTGGCGCCGAGTTCGAGGCCCCGTGGCTGCAGCGGTTGCTGTCCTCATTGATTTACAATGGCAGCTTGTGTTTCAAATTGTATGGAGTGTCCCTGGCGGAGGCGCCCTTCACTTTGATGCGCTTGATTTCCCATTCCAGATGTGGAGGTATTTTGAGGAGACCATCCACGGTGGCGTTTGGGGGGCTGCTGCCCAACATTACCTTGGGTGGGCCAGGATGGAGTTGATTCACTTGTGGTGTTCTCGCTGTGTCGTCTAAGATGTCCAGGGGTCTTGATTGCGAGGGCCAGCGGGTCCTTCATAATATCTTGGCTGGTGGTTTCTGAGCGGAAATGCGCTTGCATGGAAATGGATATGGGATCAATGTTAGTGGTATACGCCTGAGTTGTGGACGGGTTGGGAATGCGAGGCCAACGGCATGATCCTCTCGCCTGCCGTGGAGCGTGCCCAGCCTCTTTGTGCTCGTGCACTGGAAGAGGGGCTTTCTTGTCCTGCACTGGTGCCGCGGGCTAATGCCCAATCTGTCACAATTGGCCATCTCCTGCCGCCCGCTGATCTGGTCTGGTATAGTAGAGCCCTCCAGGAGGGGCTGGTCGTGCCTGGGGGAAGTCTGTGGGATCGACTGGTCGGGGGGAGAAAGCGCTGGGGGTTGGAGGCCAAGGCGATGCAGCTGGGCGCGCGCCCGCTTGGGTTCTTCCATCGTCGACGTGGGTGGTTTCCTCGCTGGCGTCCTCCCAGGGGGGCATCGGCGCTTCCTGGGGGCAGAACTGCTGGCCCTCATCGGGGTGCTGAGGCACACCGCTGGCAGAGTTCTGATATTTTCCGACTAATTACTTGCCCGTGGCCAGGGTTTGTCTGGAGCCGAAGGGGTCGTCGATGCAAACGTCTGAGATGTTGGACTTATGGGTGGAGCTCCGGAAGATCATTGGGTCGAGGGAGGGAGTCGTCGATGTGGGATGGGCGAAAGCACATCCCGCGGCTTTCCAGGTTGAGCAGCTGGGCCTTGCTCGTATCGAACGCACGTTGAATGTTGCGGCCGACGGGCTGGCAGCAGAAGCAGCCGAGAGAGGGGCGGTTCCGGATGGGCTGGTCAGCCGCGCCCGCCGAGAGGACTCACTCCATCGTGATATTTTGGCCAGGCTTCTAGCTGTCCAGAGAGATGTGCTCCTGGCGTGCGAGCGGGAGCGCGCGCGCGTCGTGCATGAGCACGTGCTTGCGCGGGGTCCCGCGAGTAGCTCGCGCGCGCGCGTCGAACGCGCGCGCGGGCAGTGGGATAGCCCATTTGCGTTTAAGACTCTGGTCAAGTGTAGGATCTGCGCTGCCAAGTTTTGTCTCCGAGGGGCCCTCTCTCTTTTCAGGCCTGAGCCGTACTAAGGGTCACGACTTGGGCATTTGGTCGAGCCTGATGGTGAAGGCCGAGTGCGACTGAGGCAGGGGGGGATTGCAGGACGTGTCGTCCCATCTCCTCGCTCCAGTTTGCCACGCTCCCCATCAGCTCCGATTATTGATTGGAGTCCGGTTTTCGCAGAAAGTGTGGTGCGTTCAGGGCCGCTTCGTGCTCAGAACATGAAGTTTGAGCGTCCTCCCACAGGCCCCACTGCTGAAGGAAGGGAGTCCCTGGGGAGGGCGCGCGCCCTCTTCCTGCCCCTCCCCACCCCCTCGTCACCCTGGCGAGCAGCAGCGCTGGCCGCAGGGGGGCTCCACCCAAGGTTGGGAGTGTTTTTTTTCCCCCTTGACTGAGGTGCTGCGTGCGGCCAGGCTGGTACTCGTGTCCCGTCACAGTCTGCTCAAAGCGTAATACTTCTCCCCCCACCGAACCGCGATCCTCCTCCTCCTCCTCCTCCTCCTCCTCCTCCTGCCCTCCTCCTCCTCCTCCTCCTCCTGCCCTCCTCCTCCTCCTCCTCCTCCTCCTCCTCCTCCTCCTCCTCCTCCTCCTCCTCCTCCCTCCTCCTCCTCCTCCTCCTCCTCCTCCTCCTCCTGGTGAGCGTGCCGGCGCTGGTCGTGGTCGTGGCGGTGGTTGTCGTGTGGGTCGTCGTGTTCAGTGTCGTCGTCGTGGTCGTCGTGGTGGTGGCAGTGGTTCTCGTGCTGGTGGCGTGCGTGGTGGTCTGGGTTCGTGGTTGTGCTCGCGGCCGCCTGACCATAATCCCAACGCCCGGGGGTTACCCTTGGTGACGGGGGTGGGGACCCATTCGGGCAGTAGGGTTCGCGTAACGTTCATCCACATTCACGGTGTGTGATGAGTGGACGAGTCCGTAAGTGCAGCACTCAACCTGACGACTGGAGCAATGGCGCCAATCAACATAATGGTGCATCAGTGTAAAAGGTAGAACAGAATGGTGCATCTTTGTAAACGGCAGAACATAATCGGGGGTGAGGGTGTCTTTCGTGGGAGGGAGGGAGGGAGGGAGGCGGAGGAGCGGCGGGAGGCATGGACGACCATGGTGATCTCCTAGCCCCCCCCCCCCGCCCCCCTTCGGCCTCTTTGGGGTTTTCGGGATTCCTGGTCGCCTGAGCTTTGGAACCCCTGGCCCCTCGTTCTCCTCCTGCTGCTGCTCCTCCTCCTCCTCCTTCTCCTCCTTCTCCTTCTCCTCCTTTTCCCCCACTTCCTGGAATTTCCCTGAACCTGGAGAGTTCACTGCAATCGCGGAGGCCACAGGAGATCCCAAGAAGGCTTCCAGAGATTACAGGAGGTATCGCGGAGACCCCAGGAGATCCCGGGAGGCCGCAGGCGGCCCTAGGAGGCGGCAGGAGGCCCCGGGAGGTCCAAGGGGTCACAGAAGACCCCGGGAGGTCCCAGAATGTCCTGGCGTGTCCAAGGAGGTCGCAGGAGGCACCAGGAGCCACCACCCAGGGGGCCCGACGAGGTTTCAGGAGGCCCTAGGAGGTTCCAGCAAGCCGCCCCTGACGATTTAGATTTCGAATTTCAGGGCCCTGGCAGCTTCATGCTTTCAAAGAATTGTTGAAGGTCTTAAGAACCTTTAAGGCGCGTGCAAGTTGCCACATTTGTAAAAGGAGTAAACGTTGCAAGAGTTCCGAAACTTCTCAAATCCTGAATTCCCACAGCTGCTGAAATCTCGGAGATCCGGAAATCCAGGACCTTGGGTGTTTCAAGCGTTTTACGAGTTTCAGGTCGCCTAAAGTTGTAGAATTTTCCAGCGTTCTGACATGTCTGCAGCCTGGGAGTTTTTGTTGGAAACTGCTGCATGTTGTTCAAACGAGTGCGCGCGGCGCAAAGGCGAGAGCTGATTTTGAACACGAACGCCCCTGTGTCCGTGTAGATGCCGCGTGCTTGTAAGACGAATGTGCGAATGTGCGCGGCGTCCAGGCGAGAGCCCCAGTTTGAAAACGAACCCCGTCCATGCCGTCGCGAGCGTTCACGAAGAATGTGCGCGTCGCCTAGGCGCGAGGCCCACTTTGAAGACGACCCCTCTCCATCCGCGTAACAGTTGGAAGCTTTAAGGACGAATGCGCGCGGCGCTAAGGCGAGAACCCCAGTTTTAAAATCACCCCTCCATCGGTGTAAGTGTTGCGAGCTTAGGAGAAGCAGGGAGAGATGGAAAGCGGGAAGAGGAGGAGGAGGCGAAGGAGGAGGAGGGAAGGAGGAAAGAGGAGTTGAAGGGCACAGTCTTCCTGGCTGGGGCTCGATTAGGCCGCTGGTCTGGCCGATTCGTCGGTCGATTGCTGTCGGGGCAGTCGGTCGGACTCTCGGTCGGCGAGCTGATCTCCAAAAGCCTGCCCGGGCTGATGGGGCTGGCCAGGTCAGGATCAGGCCCTCTTCTCCACTTCCCCAGGGAGGAGGAAGGAGAGGGGGAGGGGAGGATGGGTAGAAGAAGGAGGAGGAGGAGGAGGTCGACAAGAAAAACGCCAATCATGAGAATGACGACGACGACGTCGACGACGACGATGACGACGACGGCGACCACGGTGACGACGACGACAACGACGGCGACGACGACGACGACGAAAATGAGGGGACGACGACGAGACGGCGAGGAGAGGCGCGCGACCCAATTCGCGGGGCGTCGCGGAGTGATCCTAAGGTCCCGCCAGTGGGCGAAGAGGGCTGTGCCCTTGGCGGTGCTGCCAATGCGACTCTGCCAGCCGCCGCTCTGCCGCTGACTGCCTTCTAAGATCCCTCCCCCGCGCCCCTGCCTCCTGCCTCTTCCTCCCCGCCTCGCCGTTGCGCTCCCGTCCCGAAGCGCTCTCTCCTCCCGCCCCGCTTCCCTGCCCCCCGTCCCTTCCGCCGACCACCGAGGCAGGCGGGAGGCCGGGTCTGGAGCCCTGGGCGCAACGCCGGGTGGCCGCGGAGTCCGAAGAGCAGGGCGATAGGGGGGCGAGGAGGGGCGTCGGTGGCAGAGCGGCGCGTGGGGGGCGGCAGTCGCCGAGTGGCCCCGACTCCGAGTGTGAAGCCGAGCGGGATGGGTCGGGCGGCTGGCCGCTGCGCTGACGCCTGCAACGGAGCGGTGGCCGACCCCGGGTCCTCGGGCGGCGAGGTCGAAGGCGGCCAGCACACTCGGGCCTCGAGCGTACTGCTCGAGAGCCCGGCCGCTGGGCATGGCCAGCGTCGGCACCGCCGCTGCTGGCGCACGCCTTGGAAGTGCCGAGGGGCGCCCGGCGCGGGAGGAGCCCGCTAGGCCCTGGCTGCTGCGGCGGCGACGGCCTGGATCAGCTGGCGCATCTGGGTCCGGGAGCGGCGCGCCCACGGGGAAGAGCTGGCTCACAGTGGATGATGAGCCTGTTTTTTCCACCACCACCACCATAAGTTGGATGGGGGGAAGGGGGAGGAGGAGGAGGAGGAGGAGGAGGAGGAGGAGGAGGAGGAGGAGGAGGAGGAGGAGGAGGAGGAGGAGGAGGAGGAGGAGGAGGAGGAGGAGGAGGAGGAGGAGGAGGAGGAGGAGGAGCAGGAGCAGGAGCAGGAGCAGGAGCAGGAGGAGGAGAAGGAGGAGGAGGAGGAGGAGGAAGAGGAGGAGGAGGTGGAGGAGGAGGAGGAGGAGGAGGACCCCCTCCTCCAACTTATGGTGGTGGTGGTGGTGGAAAACACGCCCATCAGTGGAGGACCTCCGCGGCGGAGCGCCTGGTCCCCTCTCGCCCCTCTCGGCGCGCGGGAGCCCGCCGCGCTCGCCGCGCGGGTGGGGCCCGCGCCGGCGGCCCTGGAGCCGCCCCCTGGGTCCGCAGGCCGCTGCGGCAGGAGGCCAGCTGCACGGGACGCGGCCGGCCTGGGCGAGGGCTGGGCACCTGTCGGTCCAGCGCTCGTCCTCGCTGCGGCGGGCACGCCGGCCCCCCGCAGTGTCCATCCAGCGCAGGGCCTCCCAGCGCCCCGCGCGTGAGTCCAGCCATGCGTGCGTTTCCAGCCGCCTGGCTGGCCTGGGCGGCCACGCCACGGCTGCCGCCGTCTCCGCCGTCGGGCGTCGTCACGGGCCGAGTCGCGCTGCTGGCGCAGCGCGCGCGGCAGGCGCGTGGCTCGCTGGAGGCAGCTCCAGGCAGAGGCGGCCGTCCTGCTGCTCCAGTGGGGAGCTGCGAGGAGGGGCTGCGCAAGGGGGAAGCGCTGCTTCGTTTGTCCACGCAGCGTCTTTGGTCCCCTCGCCGCCCCACTGCTTGCTGCAAGCCGTCGTCCTCGGTGCCCGAGGCCGCTTGCGCGCCCCTCACCCGTCGATTCTCGACGGTCGGGCCTCCTCCTGCTCCTCCTCCTCCTGCTCCTGCTCCTGCTCCTGCTCCTGCTCCTGCTCCTGCTCCCTCTCCTCCTCCTCCTCCTCCTCCTCCTCCTCCTCCTCCTCCTCCTCCTCCTCCTCCTCCTCCTCCTTCCTCCGCGGCCGCTCTCTGCTTTCTCACCCGCTGCGCGCGCCTCGTGCTCGGCGCGCCCCGCTGGACTCGTCCCCCGCGCCCAGGACCGGTGGCGCTGCCGATTCGAAAGTGCCCAAGCAGTGCTTGAAGAGCACCGAGCGACCAGCCTGACCACGCAGGGCATCCTGCTGACGAGTTCCGCTCATGGTGAACGGGCCATGTGGGCTGCAGCAAGAGGCACCGATGCCAGGGGGAAGCTGCGCGAGCTCGCCGCATGGATCGAGGAGCAAGGGTGAGGGCTGAAACCGCCGCTCATGTCGATGGGGGCAGCAGAGCAGGGGGGCGCGCGGGAGAGAGGCACACGCGCGGAAGAGGGGCAGCGGGACCGTGGTTTGCCACGCGACCTGTGCGCCGACGGTGGCCGCAGGATCGAGCGCGCGGCCCCAGAAAGGCCCCGCCCCCTCGCAAAGGCCATGCCTCCAGTGGCGCGCGCCGCGCCTTGGCGTTGCGCCCGCGTGGCGCCGCTGGGCCGCCTGCAGGGCCGCCCCT